AAAAGAGCTTTGCCCGAGGGCAAGGCGGTGCCCATAAGTTCGGAATGTTCTGAAATTTAACTTCAAACTCCACCATGCGATATCAAAGATTTTTATGGTGGCTCTGAGGAATAACTGGCCTTTACAGAATTGTTTACGATCTTGCTTGGGAGGATTCGCAATCGCGTTATAAAAATCAGAGAATTCTGGTTTGATAACCGGTTTAAAACACTGCTATATGGTACTGGGAAATGCAGATGGGCTAGGCAGATAACTTCATACAACCACCGTTCGCAAATCGGTACTGAGAAAAATTGAATACTGCACCAAATAGGAGGAATCTTCTTATAGACGGCTCAAGCACCTGAGATCTCGCTTTTTCACCAGTTAAGCAAAAATAACGGAAGTAAAATAATCAAACACTTCGGATTAACCCCGGTTAGAGAGATGTGCCTCCATCTAGCACTCATAGTAGGCATTCAGATTGGACAAAGTTGCTTTCATAATCTAACCTGTCCCTTTGGTGAGTGACGATGTATTCCTTTCCCACATTTTTCTAAGGAACGAAAGCACTCTATTGTAGGCGTATCTAAACTCCCGCTATCGGCTTAGCTCCTTTTCGGTCTCCATCCTAAGGAGCGCTGCCACGGGTGTTGAAGCCCGAGATAGTTCACGGAGCAACAATAAAATCGACGTAACTTGTCAGTTTTAACGGATTGTGAGCGTCGGAAGCATTGCCGATGGTAAGGCGCGGAATCTGAGATGCGAAGTTCTGATCTCCACCAGACTTATTTTCTTAAGCTGCCTGCCTGCCCGATGTAAGCTTGGAGATAACGTTCCCAGTAGCATTCGTGGACTGTGGTTACATCGCACAGCCTGAGAAGTTGCTTGATAACAACCACCTTCTCTCCCACCATCTAGCGCCGGTACTGGGTATCTAACACCCTGCATATTAATCTTCCCCTTCTTCTCAACCCCACCTCCCTTGGGGTAAAAGATTACAAAAAAAAAAAAATGGACTTGACCTTAAACAAAACTATCTGCTCGTTACTGCTGTCAGTGTAGTTGTAGACAGAGAGAGCTTTTACTTTGGGTACATCTGCATAAAATGCAAAGAAA